GTCCCTAAGTGTAATAGGATGAGGTTCTGTCACTCATTCCTTCAACTCTACCATAAACTCCCACATAGGGGCAGAAGATTGCCTCCTCAACTTGAATAATCTCTTCTCCCCATCTCAGAGGTTATTCCCTGTCTGGGGAGGATGGATATAGCGGTGCAGGGGACACGAGAACTCACTCAATAAATATCTTTGCCAAATCTTTCATTTTAATATCTAGATTTCAGTGTTATTTAAGAGCCAGGAACGGGACACTTGTCTTTCACTTCCTTCACTGTGAACGTCTCCCTTTCCTTGTGGATCTCAGATATTCTGATCCCCAAGGTGAGGGGGTCAGCGAGTTTGTTACATGGAATGTGTCTATGGGGGAGTACACGTAGAGGACAGATGATATTGTGAAGCAGATAAAATTTGGTCTTAAATCTTTAATACTCTGTTTTTAAATGTTCCTATCTTGGAATTGTGTACTTTTGTGATTTTCTCCACAGCATTCCTCCAAAATCTACTTTCATAAAATTACCTCACAAACACAACCCTAAAGTAAGGGATAAATGGCTCATTGCATTTAATACATTTTTCTTTCTGCATGTGTTTTGGTTAAAACAAGAAAATTCTGAAATGTAGGAATGATTTTCTATAAAATACAGTCTTTGTCACAACCATTCAACTTGACCATTTCCCTACAAAAGCAGCCATAGATAGTGCATATGTGATGAACATTTCCGTGTTCCATTAAAACTTTATTTAAGGACACTGAAATTTAAGTTTCATATACTTTTCATGTATCATTAAATATTTTTTATTTTTTTCCAGCCTTTTTAAAAATGTAAACATCATTCTTAGTTTAAAAGATATAAAAACTGGAGGGATAAGCCATATGTGGCTCACAGACAGTGGTTTGCAGAATTCATCTTGACCTAACCCCTGAGGATTACCCTGGCAGGATGACCAGGTCTCAGGGCGGCATGTGAGTTACCAAGGAAAGCTGTCACACCAAGAGGCCAGAGAGCACACACTGGGCATATCATCCATAACAGCACTAAGGACTCTCTATCAGCAATTTGCACTAAGAAAAAAAAGAGTGAATCTGGATTTCTGCCTATCTCCTGAGTTTGAAAATTCCTTCCATCTGACTTCCCTACATTTAATGTATTTTAGTTTAGAATGCCGGTTTTCTTTCTCTGCTCTTGGTCCTGTTGGTGAAAAAGGGAGAGGAGAGATGTCAATATTTTTATATGCTTTTATTTTCCTTCTCTGATGTGTTAGCATCGATAACGGTAGTAACAACAGTTACAGAAAATCAACAGTTATTAACAGAAAAAAAGCTATTATCAAGATCAAAAGAGCTACCTTTCAATACCTTATTTGTTATTAGCCACCTGAGTGACCTTGCAAAAATTACTTAAACTCTGGATGTCACTTTACCTATTTGTAAAAAAAGGATCTTGGAGATATGTTCTAAGTGTACGAATGAATGACAGTTCTTATAAACATCCCTTCACTGAGAAGCCTTATGGTAGGAAATAAGTTTTGCTAAAGATGTTAGAAAGTTATAGAAAGATATGTTAAAGTAGCAGAGAAGCAAATTAAAAGGCTAAATTCACATTTGTATTTTTGTATTTACTGAGTTTTATAGTAAAATATTCAGAATAAATTCAGCAACAGTATTTTTTTACGTTTATTTTTCTGGAAGCATCTATAATTTAACTGGTTAAAGGGCCTCTGGTTTACATCCATTTCTTTGAAAGAAAAGACAAGAAACACAAAAACAAAAAACAAAAAATCAAAAAACTTGTGAATTAAGACTTTGAACCTGCAGATGGTGCTATGATCCTATTATGAAATTCAGTTTTGCTTTCTAGTTTAAATTCATAGGAAAAAAATGCAGTTCTTTGATTTAGTTTATCTAGAAATAATAAAATTGAATTATTTCTCTTTACTTTTGTGTTTTATTATTATAATGGGAGAAACTGTCTTTACCACTGGAAAAATCTAATGTAGTTACTCTTTATGAACGCTAAATGCTTCCTGAAACCAAATAATAAAGTTTTTTGTCTTTTTTCATTTAGATTTTTCTGCTTATCCGTCAGCATTGGTTTTTCTGTGACTTTCAATCAACTTACTTTGCTGTTTCTGTTCTTAAATAAAATTGTTTCACTGAGAATTGAGTGATGAAGAGCTAAGGATAAAAAATTCCACATGAGAACCATTTCAACCTCTAGTTTGTAATAATCAGGTAAAAAAAGATTTCCTGGAATTAAGCCACAGGAACTCTGGCTAAAGTCAGAGCTGTCAACTGGGAAACAAATTTCCAGACATTTTGAAATTTAATTCATTTAATTTTTCTTGTAACTGGATTAGAAAATATGATTAAGCATAGCAGGATATTCTTTTACTGGATCAGTCTGGCTTTGAATGAAGCCAATAGACACTAAAATTTTAAAGTAGAAGAAAGAAAGGGGGCTTTAGAGTCTTTCTCCCTTGAGGAACTTCTGAACAAAAATGTAAAAGGATACACACACTGGAAATTTTTAAAAATTATAGGGAAGATGGCATTTTACTTTATTGTCCAGAAAGTTGTTCATGTGGCTGTATTTTTACCTGAAACTCTGAATGAATATATGCTAGTCTAATTTGAATTAAAACCCCCACAAACAGAAATTAAGTATTTATCAAAGTACTCCGCAGATGCTTTCCAACTAGTTCTTTGAAACCTGTCAACTGACTAAGTTGGAAGTGTTCAAAAAGCTGGTGTGGGTATAGGTGTGTATTCAGGGATGGAAGGGAGAAACAGAATAATTCTGTATAGTGCAAGGACCTATACAAATGATGAAAATGTCTTCCTTTACAAAGGAGGGAAAATTGAATCCTTTGAGATATACAGTCTGATAGTTTATTTTTTGGATCATCTGAGGTTGTATATGTGAAAGTGTACTGGCAATTATGATAGTTTGTACAAATATGAAATAGCAGTACCATTATGACTTTATATAACAGTGTGTATATTATAATATCTTAGCGCCTTTCTGAAACTTTTATCTTGGGAGTAGTTTCAACACAAAGGAAATGTAATAATAGAGAAATGGGAAATTATTTCTAGATGCTTTTAAAATTAGAATAGATCTCAAGAAAGACTAAATTGGGATTTACATGGATAGTAGAAAACATTTTAAAAGGCTTTAGAATTGATACTTTATAATAAAGGAGAATTATACATTTGTAGGCATAATGAACATAAGTGTTTGTTTTTTTTTCTGTATCTGTTTCTGCACATAAAACTCTTATTTTCTGAAGGAACCCCAGTGTCCCTGGCTATAACGCTAATTATTCTCTAATTTCATTCCTACTAATTAAAGATGAAAACATTTCATATTAAGCTTGGTACCTTTCTGTTGTTGTTGTTCATTTAAAGAAAAGTAAATTTCCTCTTTATGTCTTACATCTTGAAGTTACTCACTATAAATTTATATAAATCAGACATAATGAAAATTTAATAAGAACTCAAGCCTTATTCATCCTGTGGGAGTACTACTGTGACGTCTTTCAGAGAGCTTTGTGATTGCTCAGCCCTAAGTGTAAGCCCTATAAAATGATGGGCTTTGAAATGCTGGTCAGGGTAGAGTGAAAAGCAGTTGCCAGCAATAATAGCCAACCCGTAGCCAGTACCAAGCTCTGGTTCAGCTCCGAGGGCAGAGAACTAGTGGAGCCGTTCTTGGCCTCATAGGACTTCAGCACCTAAGACAGCTCCAATATTCTCCTTCCATACAGAAAGCTCCGGAGAAACACTAGTTGGCAAGGTGAGTAAAAACCCTACCTTTCTTCTTCTTTTTGTCCCTCCTCCTGCTTTGAAACTTTTCTCAGGGTATATTGAATATTTCTCTCTCTTGAAAAGAATTTTACAGTGTTTCTCCTTTACAACAACAAAAAACAAGTTTCTCAAGTCACCTGGTAAGTGTAGAAAAGCTTTAACTTCTTATATATTTGTGGATTTTCTGAATTCTTTTGGTTGGAAGATGCTTTGCCCTGCTTGCTCAATACTTTTACTCAATACTGTCTTTTTAAAACTGTATTAAAGTAGGATGTGGATTTTTTTTGCCTGTTATATACATTTTTAACTGAAGGGTTCAGTGGGTACATTTGTTTTACAAGTTTCAACTTGTTTTTTTTTTTTAGTGTTGCTCTTTCTATTTCATATGTTAGTTATGTGAACCAAGGAAGCATTCATTTTCCTCTTTAAGTCTAAATGCTGTGATTTTTATAGACAGCAAGAAAAACAAAGCTCAAATTCTAAGTTTCTATCTACGAACTATTTAGAAATGAAATCTGAAAGTGGATTAGATGTAAAAAAGCACAAATATTATTTTAATATACTTTTCCTTATGTAGCAAAAATTATTTCAATGGTAATATGCAGTTTAAAAATTTTTGGTATTAATTTTCATTATTAAGTTTGTTCAAACCAGGCATAAGCAAATAATTCCCTAATAATCTGTACAATTAAAAGAGGAAAAAGAAATGTATGCACAATTTTTATACTGATATGTATATGTACATATATATACATACATATATAGACACATTATTAAATAGATGATACTCCAGTGTTTTATTAATTAGACACTAGAAACTTAAACTGTTTCTTTAGTTAGAAAAGGTACCAAATGTGGGTGCTACAACTCTGTTACAAGAAGATTGTTTCCATGGATACTTCCAGCACTATGAAAGTATAGCATTCCACAAATACTTGGTCCAACTATGTGCCTAGTGAGAGATAGGCAGCAGTTGAAAAGGACCCTAATTTTTATTCAAGCAGCTGTCACCAAAAAAAATCTTCTTGATTTAAAAATTAATTATATTGCAGTTTAACTCTTTCTATAAGATGAAAATTACTTTTTCCCAGCTCTGCAAGAGCCTTCAGAAATTACTACTAGACACTCAGAATTACTTTGTTGGGGTGATATCTTTGGTTGGAAAGCTGATGTGATTCTCTCTCTTTCAAAGTACAAAGATGGAAACCAGAAGTAAGTCCCAGCTACTTGTGCTGCTAACACTTGTCAGCATGCTCTTCTCTCACACGTTGGCATGGCCTCTTTTTGGAGCACCCTCTGCTCTGAGGTAAGTATTCTTGCAATTCAGACAGTTGAACATTCCTTCTTTATGTATGTGGGAATTTCCTATATGTTATTTTGGACAACTCAATTTTTTAAGTTACGTATTATTTATTTAAATCTTTTGGCTGACATGTTAAGCAAGTTTTTTGAACATCAAATCAACATGACTATTCTATATCCTGGAATCCACTCTCAGGTCATGAGAGACAGTGTCAATGACTAGTTTTAAGGATAGGGTGGATCACTTTTCCAAACAGGAGAGAAAGAAGGATTTGATTTTCTTTTCATTCAAAACCAGTTTTAGATAAGTCATAAGCTTTTATCCATTGTCATCTCAGTTCAGTTCAGTTTCTGATGGAAAAAAATAGATGTTTAGTTGCATGCCTCATTCTATAGTTCATTTTCAAGATCATTCAGTAAATAATCTTAAGGTTAGTAGTTGATTAGTGAAACATATATACAATCATGCTGGACAGATCTACCTATCTAGCCAGAATCAATTTGCCAATATTGTAAATTGCAGAATAACTGATCTACTGAGATACCCTTCCCCAGTGAGTGAATTTTAATGCACTTGGTTTCAACCCTAAATCCTTAGTTTCACTGTTCTTTATGTTGTATTTCATATCTCAAATTCAGAAATTATAACACAACTCTTATTTAAAATTTATCTCAAAGAAGTAAACAGTAAATGAAAACTACATTAGTTTTATTTTGTCTTTCCAGTTTATAGGCACCACTATATCTAAGGGCAAAATTGTCATCTCTTTGCTCAAATTCCCATTTCTGATTTTTTTTTCAGGGTAGACTTATACTCAATAGACTGAATAATCTCTTAGCTATTAGCATTTGTGAAATCTGCTTAAAGCCAGATCTTATGTTGCTTTATAATCAAACAGAATGATTCTATCTGAATGGTTATATCACATATCACAACAAACAATCACAAGAATGCTGAAGTTTGCTTTGATTGCTAGGCTTCATACAAAGAGGACTGCTTGTTAGTTCCACCAACTACTACATCATCAAAAGATGCACAAGTACCCAGGAGCTGATACACTCCTTGGAGGTTTACTCTAATAGTGAAAATAGACACACTCATAATTTTAATAGTATGCTGGTATTCAAAATGTGCATGCACTCAAAAATAGTCATATTCCATGTATAAGCATGATATTCTTAGTCACTTAGTAAAACATTGCACATACTTCACTAAAATTGTATTAATACATAAGATTAGAAATAAGAAGACCCTACAAAATTTATTGAATTTGAGTAACTACTCAGAGATGGAGAGATTCTTTGTACTTTATTAACACAGAGAAATATATCACACTAAAGTGAATCTTTGGATTAAAGCTTACAGACCTAGAGAAAGAAAACAGTTAATATCCACCTCTTAAGAAATGTTTGACAAATGATACCAAACACCAACAAATATATGAACTGTTCCCAGTTTTCATATTGAATATTGAAAATTTTTTGAAGTTTCTATTTTGTACAGAATTTTTCTACCTGTGAATAACTTTGCAAAGTGAAGACATTGCCAACAAAGTGTACTTTGTTTACTGCACTGATAGGATTGAACTAAATAACCTTTATGTTTGTTACATACACCTTGTAAAAGTTGCATGGCATCTATCTTATGGGATAATAAAAAATTTCACTATTTATACTCTAAACCATAGAAGCTAGTAAATCTAACTATGCTATCCATATACTGTGAATGGGTAATACTTTTCAAGAATATTATCTTATTTCCAGTGATTGTAAGACCATAAACACTATCTTCTGAGAAAGAAATACATTATACCTCTACTATATGTTTTCCTAATAGGTTGGATGACAGAATACCACTTGAAGAAGAAAATGAACCTGATCAAGTTTCATTAAAAGTAGACACCGACATCTTGCAAAATGCATTAGCTGAGAATGACACACCCTATTATGATGTGTCCAGGTGAGTTTGTTTTTTATTGAGTTTTATTTTAGAAAACATATTTTTGAAATATAAATGTTTTACAATTTGCGTCACTGTGAAGTTATTCCTACAGTACTGTACCACAGGTTTCCATGTGCCATTGCTTCATTCAGCCTGATTTATTGAAACTCTAGCAGCTGTATGTGATTTTCATGTAGAGAAGGTGTAACAAACCAAGATCAACAAATCCTTCACTTACACAGAACCTTTTGTCTGGAGCAGCATTCAAGCATAGACAGAGTAGCTCTCTACTGAAGAAGACAAAGTATAAAAATTCCTGACTTGGGTGGGAAAGTTGGCTAATAGTCACTAAGGGCCTCTCTATCTTAAGAGATTTTGTTTCCAAATATTTTGGCAGAAGAAATAGCAAAAAATATAATAAGGTTTTTGCTAAAAACCAGGATAGTTTCTCCTTGTATGTATCTCTATTTGGAGTAGAAGAAATAAAGCACCATAAATAAATAAAGAGAAACTAATTTTAATATATTATTTTTCCCATCAATATTTATTGGAGAATTAGTTTTATAGACTCTACCAGAAGGCATTACTTAATATTGAGATAAAAATTTGAATTCTTTGATTTTTCAAAGTTTTGTGCTAGAAATATATAATGTATCTCAATATAAGTGGCTAGAAAATATCTTTTATTAGGTTGTCAAGAAAACCTTTTGGACTTAAGTTTGCACAAGAAGCTTTCAAACAGCTGATAAATTTCTTTCTTGTTTAATGAGGCGAAGTAATATTTTAGGAAACCATTTACAAGATAATGGCTATCCTTCTTCCTTCTTTTAGGAATGCCAGACATGCTGATGGAGTTTTTACCAGTGACTTTAGTAGACTCTTGGGTCAACTTTCTGCCAAAAAATACCTTGAGTCCCTTATTGGAAAGCGTGTTGGGTAAAGAGAATTTATTATTTTATCAAACACATTATGATTATTTAATCTGCAAGTTATTTTTTTCACTATTAACAATTTACTTACTTGGCTCAAACTTGGTAGTGCAATTAGTGGAAAAATAATTTATATTCTTAAACAAAACATACCAGACCCATGGATTAGGGACATAGACTTTTTAGTGATATCCTACGACTCATTGGCATATTTATTTTTCCTAAGGGACAATCATTTATAAATCTGCAATCAAGTTGAACTAGATGCAGTAAAAAATAAGGCATAGTATAAACTGAAGCAAATTTTAATATTTGCCACAGTATTTGTTTTTTAGTTCCTGATCAAACCAAGCATTGGAAGTTCTTTCTTTAAATGGCCAATTGCTGAATATTTAGATGGCACTATTCAGGGTGGCAAAGTTTGTAAAGAATTTATTTTTTAAAAAATTTTCCTCCCAATGGGGCAGAACACAACTTCAAGTATTCCTCCTTTTTTTTTTGATAAATTATTTGCTCAATTAGTACAGAATGGTGTATTAAGGCTCCCAGTAAGTGCCAAAATATGTTGGATTATTCCTTGCTCCCCTATACTTAGGCTTAGATATATTTTTCTTTTAGTCTTTTTGTAATAAAAAAGACATTGGGCATTGGAATTCTTTTTTATCTGACTCCAAGAAATTTGGAACTTTGGCACGTTTATCATTTCTTGTTAAAACCTTTTGATTTCTTTTCCCTTGCATTCCTTAGCAATAGCATCTCAGAAGACCAGGGCCCAATCAAACGCCACTCGGATGCAGTCTTCACGGACAACTATACCCGCCTCCGAAAACAAATGGCTGTAAAGAAATACCTGAACTCAATTCTGAATGGGAAGAGGAGGTAAAGAAACAGAGAACTTGTTAAAATGAGAAATTATAAACAAGTTCAGAAATAGAAGCTCCATATGAAGACTTATTTATCTATCTCTCTATCTCACTATCTGTATTCTGTGAAGCAGTAATGCTCAGCCTTGGCTGACATTAGATTACCCTGCAGAGTTTTTAAAATCCTGATGTGTGCCTTACCCAAAACCAACTGCCAGAAAATTAGGACCTACGGACTGGTATTTTTTTTAGGCGCTCCCCCACTAGATTCTGCTGTGTATCCAGGGTGGAAAATGAGACTGTAGAGACATCTACTCTGAATCTGGGGACAGGTTTTATCAGAAGTGCTAGTTTTTTGGGGGGGTTTTATTGTGTGTGTGTTTCGTTTAGATTTTATTTATTTTAGAGAGAGAGAGAGAGAGTGTGTGTGTGTGTGAGTAGAGGGAGGGGCAGAGGGAGAGGGAAAGAATCTCAGGTAGACTCCATGCTGAGCCCAGAGCCTGCTGTGGGGCTCAATCTCACAATTCTGAGATCATGACTTGAGCAGAAACCGACTGAGCCACCCAGGCAACCCCAGAAGTACTAGTTTTTTAAATATGTAAAGTGCAGTCAATTAGCAATTTGATACCACATGGAACTCCCTTCACATGCATACTGAATACTTTTTTTTTTTTTTTTTTTACCAAATTAAGCCATGAGTTGTTTTGTAGTCTAAGATTCTATAAGACCCATGTTTCTCTATGGTGTCTAAGTACTGGATTGTAATAAGTAGGAAGTGGGATGCTCTCTCTTTTTATTCCAATTATTTTTGTTTAGATGGTGAGTATTAAGAACAATCTTGCTTGGACAAGATCAGACAAGATGAATGCCTTTGCCCACCAGATTATAATTCTGCAAAAATTAAGGACAATCTTAGGTAATAATTAAGCTCAAAGATAATTGTTTAGTCCTCAGTGCACTTTACAGAGCACAGAGAACAGCGAAAGTCACACATCATCAGTTCTGTGGGAGCTTTCTCAACAAAGAGCCTTCACATGCATACTTTTCATTTTCTGTTCTGCAGCAGTGAGGGAGAATCGCCTGACTTTCCTGAAGAGCTAGAAAAATAATGGAAAAGCTCTTTGAGGCAAAGCTGCTGACAACTTCCCAGTGGTGGGTATATCTATGCATTCTTATTCTTATTTTATTCTTAGAGCAAACATCTAATTATTTCAATAGGTAAGAGTCACTTGGTAAAAAACAGCTTAGGGTTCTCACAATGAGGTCTCATGGAAAAGGACACTTCTATCTGAAGCAGACCCCAACCCAGTAAACAGCTGAAAATGATTCATGCAGTGCTCTGATAGCAAAAAAGAGAAAGTTCACAATGGGCCAACGGTTTGCTACCTGAATGGTACTCCTAGTTTACTCAGACTTATTTCTAACCTTCTGTCGAGATATAAACCAGAGGAATCTGACTCACACTAATGGGAAAAACTGGCTTTTTCTTGAGACTTGAGCCATTCTATTTTTATTAATTTAAGGTTTAGCCCCACGAATGACTATTAGCACCTCATTTAATTTAAGTACAGGGAAATACCACCAAACTGCAGCATGGTTCATTATTATGAAAATACCAAGGCACTCTGGGTCTAATTGTATTCCTTGAATCATAGCAAGCTTTATGCAGCAAAGTTAAATGTGCTTCTTTTACCTATAAAGTGAGTGTAGGTGCTAATGATCCAATAGTATTTATATTCAAATATTTTTTGAATAGAGAAAACACAAGTAGGCTTTTTTCTTTAAGTGATAAGCTTGTTTGCCCAGTTGCTTTTTTGTACATGTGGATACAAGATATAATTCTTTCCTAAGTTACATTAATGTTTACATTAGCTCATAAAAATAAATTTATAATATTTGACCAGTGCCTAAAGGAATTTTATGTCATCATTGTATCAGAGGTTGGTAAATTTTTTCTGTAAAGGGCTACTGAGTAAATATTTTTGGCTTTGTGAGTTATATGGTTTCTGTTACAACTACTCAAACTCTGCTCTTGTAGCATGAAAGCAGCCACAGATAATATGTAAGATGAATGGGAGCTGCTGTTACAATACTATTTTAATTGTAAAACCTCAAGGTAGGCTGGACTACAACCTCTGACTAGGTCAAGGAGACTAAACTAGACCCACACTCAGACTGAAGGCAATCCATGGTCTTACTGAAGTTCCTGGAGCAGAGAGCTAAGAGAGTCATCAAGTGTGGGCAGAGTGTCTGAGAAGACACCTGCCTGATTGGTTGCTTTTGTCCACTGAGAGACAGATGCTCAGGGTCCTGCACTTGCCTGCTCCTTACCATGCAGAGACATTTCAGAGAAACAAGTCCCTTTGCTCAAAGAAGAAAAATCACATACAGCTTCTAGAAAACATTTATAAGAAGAAGGCTATTTCATTTAATTAAGAAATACAAGAGGCACTAAAATATAAAGGAGGATTAATTGCTCTGTCTTTTGTAAGCTGTAAGATCATTTATAAGATTCCATCCTCCCTTCTTTTCTTTTCTGAATGGGCAACTTTGGACAAATTCTTTTAATGGGAAATCCTGTGTGTCAACCATGTGTGAAAATTACGAATGGGTAATTATAATGACTAATTAAAACGCCTCTTCACATTTCAGTTTCTTTCTGACAATCAGTCCTTTGGAAGATACCTTTCTGATATCCCAGAACATGATTTCCTGTCATGACAGGCTGTTCACAAAGGGCAAAGGGAAATAGATGTGATCAAGTGAGTGGATAAGTGAATGAAACTAAGATGCTGTAAATAAAAATATTTTTATGCTTAAAACACCAATTCTTTCTTTTTCAGAATTCGTGGAGGAAAATGATAGGCGAAGTAATTATATTTTGAGTTCTAATATGTAATTCAAGAAAACAACTTCAATATCAAAACCAAATAAAATATATAGTGTTGTGAATGTTGTGGTTTACTTTATCCTAATGTAATAACTGTGATGTTTACATTGTAAATATTATTTGAGAGTCCTGAAACCTGTCTTTAACTCATAAAGATCCTGTAATTTCATATGCTGTGTATCCTTTCTAACAAAAATATATTTAGTGATAAGTAAATACTAGGCTAATTCCAATTATGTGAAGCTTTTGAGGAGAGTAGTAATAGAACACAAATGATGTGTTTATTTATAGAGCATACTTAACTATTCAGAAGTGTGGAGCACATAATCAGTGTGTCTAAATTTGAATGTTAAGCAGCTAGAGTGCTGTGTTAAATAAACTGCAAAATGTCTAAGGGAAAACCAAGAACAAAGATAAAAAGACATTCTTTGAAACTGATTTTCAGAAAGTGGTATACGTTTTCACATTTTTAGGCATCATTTATTTTGAGTAAGATGTAGTCTCTCCAATTTGGATCTGTAATTGCCGAAATCTCTCTCTGTCATGGTGTTTCAGTGAAAGAAAGCGGCCTCTGTTCCTGACGTTTGACCTTTCCTTTCTGCTTGTGTGAAGTTATGTGTAAAAAGTAAACTGAATGGAACATTCATTTTTCAGTAATAAATTTTTTTTCCATAATTACTCAAATAATGCTTTGGTTATCAACTTCCTTCAATGAAAGTACATTTGGAGACACAACTATTTTTCCAAAGGGATTGTAGGAAATTAAATAGAGAAAATAAAGAACTTTGATTATCATTGCAGACACTTTCTATTGTTTTGATTCTGTTAAATGATGCAGCAGTAACTCGTTTTTAGCTCTCAAGTTCCAGGCATTAGATAGTTTTTGTGATGTTTGAGGTAGGACTATGTTTGAAGCTGTGCGAGTTCTAAAATCACAGTGACTTAAATATGAGAGAAATTTCTTTCTCACATAAGGCCAGAAGGAAGATATCACAGGTTAGTTTGAAGGTATTGCTCTGCAAAGCCCTCAGGAAACTAAACCTCTCCTCATGATCCAAAATTGCAGTTGGAGTTCCAGCCATCATCTCTGCATTCTAGGCAGTAAGATGGAAGAAAGAGCATAGAAAAAAAAAGAGGCAAAGAGTGCATGCAGATTTTCTTTTAACTGATATTTTATGCTAAGGATCTCTGACTAGAACATAGTTTTATGATCAGAGTCATTTGGAAAACAGGGTAGAAAAAAAATTTTTTTCTTCTGGATAGTCACGTGTCCTACTAAAAACTGGGGTTCTAGTAATATAAAACAAGGAAAGAATAGACTTCTGTGGGAATTTGTTTGTTTTTTTTTTTTAAATCTTGGGCTTTGGATCTTAAATTCTTACAAAAAGCCTTAAAGAAATGATGAAGAAAGTGAGAGTCAATAGACCCTAACCATTAATGAGGAATCATTATCATCATAAGACAAAATTTTGCTAAGGTTCATTTGCTACAATTAGAACAAATGGGTATATAAGGAAAGACTAGTCTAGAACTGCCAGTAAATGCAAAGCAGTTGACAGAAGTTGAAGTGAGTTGGACTAACTATATCTTTTGCTCATTTCTGATTCCACAAATCATTAAATATTTGTTAAGTGAACTTTCTACCAAAGCACTACAGTGAAAACTGAAAACTTCTAGATGGTATTTGCACATAAGAAGCTTGTAAAGATCAAATGGGGATATAATTGTAATGCAATTCAAATGTGTATCTAAAGAGCTTTAATTATATCTTATTAAAGTAAGTCTTTTCAATTCAGTCACTATTCCTTCAAGAAATATTGATCAAATGAATCTGATGTGCAATTTAGATATCTGAGAGATGAGTGTTCTGGACAGAGAGAACAGCAGGTGCAAGTGAGGGGAAAATCCTGGCATATTTGGACAGTAAGGAAGTCCAGTGAGCTGGACTGGGCAGAGTAGGACATGAGATCAGGAAGCTTTCCCAGGACCTTGTGGGGCCTGCCAGGCCACCATAAGGACTTAGCGGTGAGATGAGGAGATGTGGCAGCGTTTCAGACAATGGTGTGATAGTATCTGAACTGCATTTTAACAGGATCATTCTGGCTGCTGTGTTGGGAATATGGTGAAGGGGTGCTGAGGGTGAAAGCAGGAGGAGGAATGAGGAGGCTATTGCTAGAAATCAGGCAAATGATGGTCGTCGTGACCGGGGTCCACACAGTGCAGATGGTGAGAAGTGGAGTCTGCATATGTCTCAAAAATAGGGTCAGATTTTTTGCTGATAGTTTGAAGATATGGAAGAGAAAAGTCCAGAATGATTCCAAGGTAAATTGCCTGAGCAACGAAGAATACGGGCTATGAACTAGGATGAAAAAGACCAGGGGGATGGGGGAGGCAGTTTCAAGGGAGGATGGGTTTAGCCTTGGACATGTTATGTTCCTGAGGGGTTCTGAGGACATGTGGCGTTGCAGGCCGAAGGTTGAAAGACTTCAGTATAGCAATAAGATTTAAAGACACAAATTGTGAGATCACAAGGGACTAAATGTAGCTAAAAAAGAATCTCAACACATAACCCCTGGGTATATTAATTAACTTGGGCTGCCATAACAAGGTGCCACAGACTGGGGAATAAGCAAGAGAAATTTATTGTCTCACAGTTCTGGAGATGAAATTCTGTGCAAGGTGTCAGCGAGGTTGGTTCCTCCTGAACACTGAGAGGGAGAATCCGATCCATGCCTCTCCTTGGCTTCTGGTGGTTTGTTGGCAGTCTTTGGTTTATAGAAGCATCACCTAGATCTCTGTCTTGATCTTCACATGGTGTCATCCCTATGTGTGCATCTCCAAATTTCCCCTTTTTATAAGGACATGGATCATATTGGATTAAGGCCTATGCTAATTACCTCATTTTAACCTGGTTACCTCTGTAAAAACCTTATCTCTGAATAAGGTTACATTCTGAAGTACTGGGGGTTAAGACTTCAACATATGAATTTGTGGGGGCGGGGGGATACAATTCAACTATAACCCTGAAACACTCGAACATTTTTGAATTGGGATGTTAAGGAACAAATGGGGTAAAAAGAACTGAAAGGAGAAGCTAGGAAAATAGGAGAAAAATTGGAAAAGTATGTAGTTCTGGAAAACAAAAAGAAAGTCTTTCAAAGGAAGAACGTATCACTGGCAGATTTATATATGTGCTACTATGTAAAATAAAATCCATTTGTCAATTTCTTAAACAAGTATTTATGTGTCCCACACTGTTCTAGGTTCTGACGATATAATAGTGAACAAAACAGACACAAATTCTTGCCCCACATAGAGCTTACATTCTATTGAGGGAAACAGATGATAAACAACAGAGTTAAGTAAAATACATATGATAGAAAGTGATAAGTGCTGAGGGAAAAACAATAATGCAGGGAAGGAGGATATGAAGTGTTGAAAAATAAGGTTGAAATTTTAGATAAAGTTTCTATAGGAGGCCTAAAGAGAAGGTGAATTTGAGAAGAGCCCTGAAAGAAATGACAAAATTAGCTGAGAGTCTCTATGAGAAGAACATTCTAGACAAAGGGAATTTCAGATGCAAAAGCCCTTGGGTGGGGACTTCCCTAATATTTTAGGCAGAGAGGAGGCCAATTTGGCTTTAAATGGTGAAAATGACTAAGATATAATATAAGAGAGAAAGTATGAGGAACCAAGCCACCCAGGACATCCCAAGTCATAGCAAAACTCTGATTTTATTTTGAATCAGATGGAAAACTATTAACAGAATTGGTTGTCATCAGTAGCCTTCACAATAATAGTATTGGTGGAATAATGTAGATAAAAGCTGGGTTGGAATGGGTCCGAGAGAATGGGGAAGGGGATGTCTAAGCTGTGAATACTGATGACTCTTTGAGGTGTCTTCCTGCATAGGAAAGCAAAGAAGAGGGGAGGGATCTGGTGGGAAAAGAGAGATCAAGTAACTTGTTTTTATGTGGGAGAAATATCAAAAGCATGTTTGCATGCTGAAGGGAAAGATCCAGGTACAGGAAATCTGATGATGCTGCAGGTAAAAGGAGGTTTTGCTTGAGTGATACCCCTTAAGATGAAGAGCAAATGAATGACACACCAGGGGTGGACTTGACATTTGTGCGGCACAGTACTCTTCAATAGGCAGAGTGTTTGGGCCAAAGGTGGAAGAATTGGGGGATGAGGTGGTAGTGTTATGGGTTCCAAAGTCAGGTTCAGTTGCTCATCACTTGAAGACCAATACTTGAGAGACAAGTGAGGGTAGGGAAGGAATGTTTGCTTTATTCAAGAACTGACAACCTGGGAAGATGGCAGTCTAATGTCCCAAAGACTACCTTCCCCATCCAGGTGAAGCTGAAAGGTTTTAAAGGGGGAGACACAGGAAAAGGGAGAGGGGCTCCGTGCAGGAGAAGCTGGTGCCCAGGTGGTTACTCATATGTCGACATGACCCTGAACAGATTTGTTGGCATCATTGGCAGCTATTCTCAAATGTGGTTAGGTCTTATCTTCTGGGAAAGTTTGATCCCTCACTCCTTAAGGCCAGTGGTCTACAAGTCTCAAGGAAAGAAAGTTCTGCTATGGACAAGGGATTTAGGTTAGCAAGCAGGGAGTGCATAAGCTTGAATCAAGTGAACCCTTAAGACCTGGTTGGGGTTCTGTTACAGTGGAAACTCATAAAATGCATCTTAATGACATCTGTTTTCTCCAGGAAATAGCTCAGAGGTAGGTAAGGAGATGGTGGAGATGTGAGAATACTTAAAAGAGACTGAAATAGTTTAGTAGATGGGTGGGCAGGTAAATGAGCTAGGAAAAATTCTTTTCTGATCTGAACAATCCAGTGATGAATGAGGTGATTTAGACATGGATCAATTTAAGTAGTCTGAGATTATTATTTTTTTTATTATTTTGAAAGTTTAATGAAAGTTAAGCAGTCTTTCCCAGAAATATGCACATATTAATTTTTGTGCTTTTGGAACAGTCCCTGAATCTTGCTTGTGCTTGGAATTTTAAGGGCTTCATTGATCGGTCTTTAAGAATCACTAGGCTGGTAGTCATTCTGGTTGGAACTATGTGAAGGAGACCCTGCAAATAGGGAAAATGGTATGTAGACTGTTAAAGTCATCCAAAGGTGAGACAATGAGTTTGGACTACACTAGTGGTCATGAGAGAGGAAAGGAGTGATAGTAAGAGTTAACACTTACTATATAGCAGGCACTTCCCTAGGGTCTTTATGCTGTTACATCATATCAAATATATGAGATATGTACTATTTATTCTTCCAGCCAGATGAGGAAGCAGAAGTACAAAGTAGATCACAAAAACCACGACCCTGGAAACTCACACAGAAGAGTTCCATGCAGTCCCCTGGTGAGTCTTACTTAAGACCCCAGAAAGACTAAGTGACTCTCCCCAGGTAACATAATTATTTAGCGGCAGAGCAGGGAATGGGGCTCAGAAGATTTCTTCCCCTCACTTTCTTTCATGCCCAGTACTGAAATTGTCAAAATTCAATGCATTCTACAGAGATTCCTTTGAAGACTACCCCAGTCTCTCGGTCCCATCTCTGCAGAGCCTGCCCTGCCTTCCAGGTAT